AGTCTAATTTGATGTTAAATTTTAATATTAATAAAAAAAAATTCTATTTTCTACAATTACACATGATTTGCCTTTATTCACCAATTTTTAAAGTAAAAACTGTTTTTAAAAAATATTTAGACTTCTCTTGGTGATTCTCTCTTTTGCATTTCAACTTTTTGCAAGGAAAAATTGCTCACTTATTATGGAATACATATTTCCAGTAAAAACATAGATTAGCGAGCGTATGGTGCAAAACTTTTGCAAGAGAAACCAAGTAGTTGGTAATGACATTCTGACATCTAACACTTCACCATGACAAAAGTGTGATTGAGCAATACCAAGGATACAATGGAAGGATAGACAGATAGGGATGAACTATTATAATTGAGATGATGTATTGAGTCCTTTTGCAAAAGATAACTATTTACTCATGCATACAATTTCAGGGTTGTCACTTACAAAGTAGTATTTATGCAAAAAAAGATTATCAGTTTTTAAGAGGTTTTATTACATATGTATATAATTATTAATTTGATACTATAAAAATATGTAAATTTTTAATGGTCAATACTCCCAATTCAAGTATAGGTGGGTTTTTTACTTAGCTACATATTTTTATATTTTTAGCCAATGAGGGTTATGAGAGTAGCAATTTATTGGCTACATTATGAGGGTTATTGGAACCTCATTCTAGCATGTGGTTAAGGCATTTTAGTGGCAAAAAATGGTAGAAGGCTTGCATTGTACTAAGGTGTTTCAAAATGTTAGCTTGAAATCCTTAAATGTGGGATGCATGGGACATTTGGGCTCAATTGTAAAGTCATTGTGGTTTAATATGCTACCTTTGAGGTAACAAGTACCATAAATAGGGATAAGGACTTATGAAAATTGTGAGTGAAACTTGATTGCATGGTTAAAGATGTAGTTAAATACTTAAGGCAAAATGAAAATTTTAGTCACTCATAATATAATTAATTCCAATCTAAATGAAAATTATATATTTAGATTCTCCACCTTACAAAAGTGAAAAGTAATTTACTATATTCTATAAGAATGCTTAGTTTGCCTTGAATTAATAGCAAATGCTTGGATATTCTAATGTATTCTGATTGTGAATTTTAATATGTTCATAAATCAGAGAAATCTCTAAAGTGCTACTAAAGTATATAGAAAACTCTCTCTCTCTCTCACACACACACAAAATATCAATAATCAATCAATCAATCAATCAATGAACATTAGGGGAAACATGTAGAGTATAAACTTTTTTGAATATTGATGGTTTACAAGCCCTAACAAATGCAATTCAGCCATGCATCAGGAAGACATACTTCTTAATCAAAATAGCCTTTTAAAGAAAAAAAAATATAGTTACTATTTCTGGCACAGCTAGATTCTAAATTGATTTTGCAGCAAGATTGGGTTTACATATTTAGTGTAAAGCTTTTGACTGGATTTTTACACCTTTGTGTTAACTTTAAGTTTTATGAAATTATTTACTGAACATTAAAATTTAATTTAATCATGAAACAAGCAATCTAGAGTTCACTTACTTGCCTATTACCAAGGAAAATTGGTGTAAATGAGGTGAGTTTAAAGCCTATATGATGAATACTTCATCAGCTTTTTGATGAATATGCCAGGTGAGAGGTCACATGAGATTTGCTAGATATCAACTTTGAAGTTTGTGTAGAGCTGCTGTATGACTTGGCCTGAAGCTTGATAAGGCATTTTGTTCATAGCACTGTATGGAAGGCTTTGGTTTGCCTTTAGGCTGTCTATAGAGAGTTACAAGGTGGTTGATACAAGTAAAAGTTTAATTGTGGGCATCACAACCATTAGATGAAAAATATCCTAGAATATTCCTGAATAATCTAGGTAGAGCCTTCTTTTCTACAAGTTTTCTAATTAAAGATGTATAAAAATGGATAATGACTGTTTGCATACATAAAATATGTAAATAAGATAGTTTGTAGAATCTTTGTTCATATATATTATATACAAGTAAAATATTAATAATTAATATATATAAATAAATATTAAATCTAGTTAATTAAAATAGATAGCAAAGAATCTATGAAATCATTAATTATGTTTTCTTTACTGTATAATGATACCAATTGATGCCTTTAGAAATGTATGAAATTTCTATGCTTGTTATTACCTTTTCATAATAAATATTTTGAATCAAAGTACATTTCCTTATTGTCTATATATATACACAAATGGGTGTCCCATTTGCTGATCGTCCATGGAATTTGCCTTTGCTTCAAACTCTACTACAACTTCCCAATACTTACAAAGTAGAAGTAATGTCATCCCACGCCCAGCCTTTATAAAAGAAAAAGAGATTCAGGAAAAAGAATATCCAGGGTTTAAAAATTAACAAGCTAGGATTGAACGGCCAGGCGCTGGAGATGCTCGATAAAAACTTGCAAGCTCACGTCGTCCGTAAATATCACCTCCACATTACCATAGGCGTTGGAGTTGTGAGTGACTGACGGATTGAGCTTGGCGAGGAGGAACCTGGCCTGGCTGCCGTGCTGGTCGCATTCCACCAGCCTGGGAACCGGGACCCTGTCCTCCATCACCGCTCGAGCATCGTTCACCGGAGCTTCCAGCAGCGCCTTGAAGCTCTCGTACGCCGGATCGTTGTGGTAGCCGAGCTTCCTCCACTGGGCGATGGTGGAGCCGTAGTGGACGACCACGTAGAAGTAGGAGTCGAACAGGAGGATTCTCTCCGGAGTGATGGAGCTCACGTCCAGCAGCACCGGGACTGGAGGACCCTCGAACGAGTACGAGAAGAGCGTCGGCTGGATCATGATGAGCGATCCCACCACCCCTTCCCGGTTGAGCATGAGCCGGAAGAAGGCCGTCTCGTCGGGGCTGTTGTTAAACACGGACAGGAACTGCGAGCGCCGGAGGTGGTACATGAACTGCGGGTAGAGCGAGAAGTTGGACGAGAGCCGGAAGGATTGAGCGTCCTCCTTCGTGTAGTCGCCGAACTTGGAGGCCACCCGGATCAAGTTCTTGTCCAGCCACCGGACGATGTCGAAAGTTTCCTCGTTCTCCGTCTTGTGGGCCGCGTACTTTGCCATCACCGCCGCCGCTGCCTCCTGATCAAACGCCGCCTTTGCGTCTTGTTCTTGAGAGGCCTCGATCCATCTGCGAGAAGCCGTCGTCACTCTCAGCCTGGTCTCCCCGTTTCCGTGCTGGTACTGAGTCGCAAACTGGATGAAGAATGGATTCCCTGGTGTGATGCTGGACGAGTTCTGCGCCACCACCTCGAAGAAGACGGCGATGGAGGTCTTGCTGTTTAGAGTGCACAGCTTCCAGGCACTGGTTCCACCTATGCCAAGCTCAGTCTCGCTCACCGACGTGGATTTCCTCTTCAAGCTCGAGCACGGGCCGATGGCGCCATTTATCTTCACCTCGCGAGTGGTCGTAACTTCAAAGGTGCCATTGAAGCACATCTTGAGCTTTCCTTCCTCCTCCTTCTCGAACAGCTTCCTCAGTGACTTCTTGAATTGCTCCGAGTCGAAAGTCTCGGCCAGGACCATCAAGCCTCCCGTGCTCTGCACCGCGGACTTTGCCTCGGCACAGCCAACCTGGTCCAGCGAGCACGCAAAGATGTCGAGGACGTGGCTGTTCTCCACCAAAGCCTGGCCGATCTGGTTGTAAAACTTGCACGACTTCTTGTAGTGAACAGCATTGTCGTTGACAAGATCCTGGTGCGTCCGGATGCTCTTGCTCCGGTCGGTCTCCACCACTATCCCCGGCCCGATCGTCACGGGACCCGAGACGAAGAGCATGATCCGGGAGCCGACGTTGGCAGCGCATCCTTCCATGAGCCCCGCGGCCACGGCCAAAGCAGCGCCTGTAGCTCGTCGAGGCCGGTGGCCGGCCTGGACGTTGAAAGCATTCGGTTGGAGCTCGTCGATAGCACTGTTGATCTCGAAGTCACACTCGGACGCCGGCAGCAAGAAACGATTCGGAGAGCCTTGCCTCGCCATGCGACCACCTTTGGAAGAGAATCCTAGCAGCTCTTGTATCTGCGATGAAAGAAAAACCAGTTAGAACAAAAGGAAGAGAATGAGAGAACTTTACCCGCTGGCTCGTCAGCTCTCTATCGCCGGGAAAAACTAGAGCTTTCGAGTAGCCCGAGTGGCTAAGAACATGAACATTCACCATCGTCCCAAAGCTGATCAATCCAACTCGAGAGCTCTCGGGGATCATCGCTAGCAGATGCTGGAGCTCCAACTTTAGCGCCTGCAAATCCTCCAACTCCACGCAAGTGTCCACCACGAAGAGGAAGCACGGGGCATTGGAAGGAACAGGCGGGCCGCTCAAACTCAAGTCCTGGAACGATGCCGGCAAAGTTTTATGAGCTCCTGGAAAAGATCCCTGCGGCTGAGCTCCATATCCATACCCCGCGTGTCCAGCGGCTGGGTTGTGTCCCGGAGGATAAATCTGAGCTCCCGGTGGTGCCTGGATCGCCGGAGCTTGCGACGAGAATCCACTCCCAGCGCTTGGAAAGCCACCGAATCCCTTCTGTGGGATCACATACTCGACCGTGCTGTAAGTCGGGTAGAGCTCCGCCGGGAGATTGCTCTCGCTCACACCGGCATAGTTTCCAGGGAAATAGTTTCGCTGGAGGCAAAACGGGCATCCCCAGATCCTAGCAGTGTAATCCACGTTGCAGTAGGGATTGAGGACTGCCTGGCACTTACATCGCACTGGCTGGTAGGGAAGAACTGGAAGATCCGGCAGTGGCATCAAGACATTGGCCATGATCCCGAATGGCACCACCATGCGAGCGGCATCGATCCGGGACGTCGGCCACGCGTTCCACACCCAACGGAGGCCCTCTGTCGCCTCGATCTCGTTGAAATCCATCCCCGATCGCTGATTCCTGCCTGTGAGCTGCTGGATCGGGACGAATTGCGGCGCGCGGGATCACAGCATTCGCCGCGCGTTACCTAGTGGAATGCTCCTCTCAAGAACCCTAGACTGCCCAAAATCGACGGCCACGATTGGAAGATCTACCTAGTTTGCATTTTAAGAAAAAAAAAGGGTGAGGGTTTTTTCTAGGGTTCTTAGATCCGATCCAGAGGGCGCCAGTGGACGCTAGCGCGATCCAGCTCCAATCCCGCAAGGCGCAAGGTATGCAAGCTTGGATCTCCGCTAGAAATGCGTAGTTTTGCCAGGGCGAGGATTCTTTTCTCACTCTTTGGTCTCTAGATGGAGGATTTTGAGAACTACCAGGGACACGAATCACACTCTGATCCATCCAAGCCCTTCGACGATGGCTACTCGGGCTACGATCCGCGCATTAACTCGGCCAGATTCGACGACTCCTTCCGGATGCCCTCTTACTCGGACGAGCATTTCCCTCCTGTAGAGGAATCCAAGGACGATGTCTACGACAACCTGGGCGATGCGTCGCCTGGATACGAGCCCCCGAGCTTCGAGAATGGGGTCCATGGAGTGAGCATGGACTCTCCCTCCAATGCGTTTGGTGATTCCTTTTCCGAGCACCAGGATTTCGGTTCCAGGGGGAATTTCTCTCCGGCCGCCAGCGATTTGAACGGGCAGAGCTTCCCAGCTGCCGAGGAGGGCTACGAGTTTATGGAGGCTCCGGTGTTTGGGTCTGGAAACAATGGCTCTGTTCTTCCTCCACCCGAGGAGATGGAACCGGAAGAAGGATTTTTGCTCCGAGAGTGGAAGAGGTAAGTGCTGGTCTCTTCGATCGAGTTTGGCTTTGTTCTTACGTGTTTTTTTGTTTCGTATCTTGGCAGGCAGAACGCTGAGAAGCTGGCCGAGAAGGAACGCCTGGAGAAAGAGCGACTGACTATGATCATGGACGACGCCGACGCTTACAAGGACGAGTTCCTGGCCAAGAGGCACTCCCACTGCGAAGCCCAGAAGAACAACAACCGCGACAAAGAGAAGGTAAGCAAGAAAAAAGAAAAATCACTCTTTGCTCTTGCTAAAGCGTGGGATCGCCACAGGTTTTCCTGGCCGGCCAGGAGCACTTCCACAAGAGCGCCGACAAGCACTACTGGAAGGCAGTGTCGGAGCTCATCCCCGCGGAGATCCCGACAATCGAGACCAAGCGCAACAAAGACAGGAACAAAGTCACGGTGATCTTCAACCAGGGGCCCAAGCCAGGGAAGGCCACGGATCTGTCGAGGATGCGTCAGATCCTCCTCAAACTCAAGCACAATCCACCGGCTCACATGAAGACCGCCCCGCCGCCGCCACCGCCCAAGGCCGCCGAGGGAGGAGACAAAGCCAAGGAAGCCGAGAACAAAGCTCCGCCAGCGGCATCGCCGCCTCCTCCCGTGGTGGAGGCCGCCGCTTGATCGCCATCGCTTCTCTTTTCTTGGAGCTAGCAGTGTTCTTACAAGCTCTTAGCTTGTGTAAAGATGATCTCTCATTGGTTTATATCTAAACGATAGCTTGCTACGAATCAAACCAAAGTTTCTTCATGTTCTTACTGATCAACTTCTCTGGATTCTTTGTTCTCATTGATAAGTCAAGCCAAGTCAACGTTCGTCTTGGAATTTAGGGCCTACGTGGCAGATTCAGCTGAAACCGGTAGTTACTGGATGAAAGTTTTCGGCTGACTATCCTTACCTGGAGCGCGCATCAAACCAACTGTCTAGAGACCCTCTTTCTCTTTCTCTCTAGTTCTTCTTTCACCCTCGATTCCTCTCTTTTTCCTCAAATTTCCACTTGGTGGATCATCAGCAGCAGGAGTTTCAATCGAAAAGAAGAAAGAGATTACCGGGATGGGATCGCGAGGCTCCTGGAAACCGTGAGTATAGCATGCCTGCGCCCGCATTCCGCCCCGACCGGATAGGAGAAGGCTACAAACCGGCCTCGTACTACAAGCGCTCAAACATCCTGCGAAGGTTTTGCCACCAGAAGAAGCGTAAGGAAGTCGACCCACACTACCAGCAGTACTACCAGGGCCGCCTCCTCACCGACGTCACCGAGGTCCTCAAGCCCAGTTTACCGGGTAGCCCCTTCAAAGACCCGGTCTTCTTCCCGCACCACTGCACCGACGTTACCGAGATCTACGAGAACGCCGGCAAGCTCACCAAGCGCCCCGCCACCGCGCCCGACGTTAGCCACGGCGTGAAGAACTCGGACGTCACAGAGACCAACCGGATCATACCTCCGGGCCACCTTGGCAAAGACCCACACAAGATCCGGCTGCCGTACTTTGGGATACGTACGTCGTCCGTCACGGACCCGTCGAGATACATAGACACGTCCGGTTTGCCACTGCTAAGCTGGTGGGAGAACCGCCCAAACTCGAGGATGCCTGCGAGGCCACAGACGGCCCCGGCGGTGGTGTATCCCCAGCATATGAATCCAGTGCTGTTGCAGAAGCACATACTGGAGAGGAGACCGTATCGGCGGAGCGAGTTCGTGGCGGAGAAGCGGCGGCTCTACAGTGCATCGAAGCCACCATCCTTGGATGCCTCCACGCCGAGATCGGATCATCAGGCTGGGAAGAACAGCAATCGCGAGTTACTGACGTCTCGGTCGCAGCTCAACTCGGCGAGGAGTAACGTGTCGAGCATGACGGAGAAGACGTCGTCGGCGAGGTCGGACAAGCCCCCGGCGTCGGCAAGATCGTCCGCGAAGTCCCAAGCGTCGTCGGCGCCGCAGCACTCGACCAAGTCCCAGATGTCTGGAACTGGAACTAACAAGTCGGACAAGACCAAGGCTTCCGGAAGCTGTGGATTGAAAGATCTCGAGGTGGGCAGCTCCAAGAGATCCGAGGGAGCTCGATCCAACCCGCCAGTAGCACCAGCAGCGACAGCAACTTCGGAGAAAACTCCGCCTTCCAAGCCGCCATCGTCCAGAGCGACCAAGTCTTCCTCGTCTGGAAAGCCGCCAAAGCCACCGCCGCCATCGTCGTCGTCTTTGGTGAATCCTCGCAACTCGCTGCCGGGATTTCCATCGCTCACGGCGGAGGCGCTCGAGAAGCTGGGGCCCGAAAAGATGGACAGGGTCACCAAGTGGGCGGGAGAGCTCCAGACTTGGGCGATACCGGACCATCGATCAAGGCCTCCAAAGCCAGTTTATTATGAAAGGGATCACGGGAGGAAGAAGACCGACGTGACCGATAACTACGTCTGGTAGAGGAATTAGATATGATTTTATTTCTTACTTCAGTCAATAATGAAATTATCATTTCAATTAATAGTTTAATAAAACTAAAACAATATCTCTAGATAAGTCAAACAAACTAATATGTAAAATTTATAAGTGTTGAATTGCTTGCAAGCATTTTCAACTAAGAAATGTATTAAAAACTTTTGAAGATGACAAAACTTATTGTTATATATTTCTTCAAAAACAATCAAGATGAAGATGGGTTTATCACAACTTTCATTTTCTTTTATAAATTTGAGAATTTTAACAAAAAACAAATTCCAACAAAGGTGATATTTTTCATTCTTACCAGTATATCATTATTTAATTAATTTTTATTTTTAGAAAACCAAGTGTAAGGATTATTCTAAGACATTTGATAGTATTATCATTAAAGATGAAGCTACACTTTATTATTTAAAAAAGATAAGTCAATTCAAAATAGTGAGGTAAAAACCTTAATGATGTAGTCATGATTATTTCAAAACATGGGTTAGATTTTAGAAAATTTTAGAATTTCTTATAATTTTATAATAATATGGTTTCTATGATGGTAAGGAGAAAAATATAAATATAGATGGCAATAGAGATGATGAGTTATTTAGACTATATTGAGAAAAAAATTATTAAGAAATTGTAAAAAGATATAATTATGTGCTATAAAAATAACTTACTATGTTATATAGAATGCTTTAGTTTGTTTTATCTTTCTAATATAATAATGATGTACTTATTATTTAAAAATATAAATGTTTTTTATATTCTTTCAAAAGATCTTATTTATGCATATAAGTAGTTTTTATAATTTTTATTAATAAATATTTCTATACTAGCCTCAACCTTATTTCTACCCTCCTTGGAACATTGAGAGATAAATGGGGATAAAATAACCACTAAAGGCTCTTTAATCAAGCAATTGCCAATTTTCTAATTGGCTTAAAGGGATAAAGATAAAGTGTGTTACATGTGGTATCAGAGCAAATGGCATAGGTTTGATTTCTATTGATTAGTGGCTACTTAAAAAATATAATATAGTATACCTTATATATAAATATAAAGTATATTTCTACCTCTAAATTTGAAATCATATGTATTGGACATCTATACATATGTCCTTTCTCAAAAAAAGGTATCCACCGTGGGACTACAGTACAGGCAGATAATTAGTTGCCTCACATGGAATAGCTAATCTATACAATTGAAGGATTGATAAAATATAATATACTCTTGAGCAAGGTATATTTTTACCTCTAAATTTAAAATCATATCTATTGGATATCTATACATACGTCCTTCCTTGGATGAAGGAATCCACCATTGGACTACGGTACGAGCAGATAATTAGTTGCCTCACATGGAATAACTATGGAATAACTGATCTATATAATTGAAGGATTGGTAATTTCAATGCATGAAGTTGTTTGGTTAAACGATGATGAACCCCAAAGTGGTTGATGATGAAGATAGTCTACTTGCAAGTAGTAGCATTTTAATAGCTTTGACTGAATTCTCAATGATGATCCATTATATTAAGCTTAAGTTAGTACATTATTTCTTTCACCCTAAACCCTTTGTTGAAAAAGTTGTAACATTCATTTGCTATGACTCGTTGGTTAATCAATTAGCAATTAGAGTAGATTATTAAATGGAGAAGATGTGTAATTAAGGCATTAACTTTACTAACACTTCTGCTAGTGGAAATAACATTGTTATATTGAGTGACGAGGAACTTTTCTTAAAGTTTGATTTTCCATATCATTTTTGTTGTTAATGTTTTGGCTTCACATTGAATCTTGAAGGTGATTAAAAAAGGGTGTTAGATATCCAAAAATATGGTATTCGTGATTAAACTTTGGATGTTCATTTTGCATTTTACAGATGTTGGTGTTGGATGTTGGAAATATAGGCATAATGTTCGATGCTTAAACATGTTATTAGGTCATGAGAATTTATATTGAGGTGAACTTATATAAAGTTGTAGGTAAAAGGAAATTAGTTGAGTCTTGAAAGTTTATATTCCTAGACTAAAAGTCATTCTTTCTCTGGGATGGAAAATTTTCTATAAATTTTCTTAGACTTTTCCAATGGCTGATCTGTTTCTATTTTCATAAGTTAGTACAAACTAGTGAAAGGGTTAGAGTTGACTTCAATTAACTTAGACCTTAGTATGTAATTTGTATGATGCAGACTAAAAGGAATGCTAACTTCTTAAGGTTAAAGCAATTAAGTTGGATAGAGTCTAAAGTTGGTGTAAAAAAGTGGTTGTTGAGCTTTTCTAGAAAGGTGACCCTTGTGCCTTTCTTTTGTAGTATTGTGCTTGGTGGCAGGTTGCACCTTGTATTTCATTATACTCTATGAGAATAGTGAGTTCTCATTGATCTTGACTTGGTCTTGGTAGCCCTGCACCTTGGCTGAAGATAGTGATATCCAACTTAATTGTTTGTAGTTGAAATATTGGTACCCATACTATAGCTTTGTCTATGAGGAGGTTGTGTACTAATATGAGTTTATCTCATAGTCTTCATTTTAGTTTCAGCTGATGTGTTAATCATGCATAGCTAGCCTCTTCATAGGTATGCTCATAGCTGTTAGCTAAACTCATTAGTGAGTTTATTGTGGTTGAGTTGAATTTGAGTGGTCATAGAGTCTATCTTATATTTTGTACTTGGGATATTACATTTATGTTGGACAAGTATATAATTTGATGGCAAGAGTTTAGTATTTGGGTCTTATGAAGGCAAGTTAAACAGTGATTACTAGTTACTTTGCAATTAGTGATTGCTTGTAAATTTTATTCGAAGACTGTGAACACTTTCTTCACTTGATGAAGATTTATTGGTGATGAGCTTGCTTTACCAAATGGTGTTGCGGGGGATCGTATCGTTTAAATTTACATGGTTTTTCCATGTTGGCATGCTGACTCTACCTTTGTTGATATCATTTGGTTGTGTTTAGTCTGTGATATTGGAATATATTGAGTTTTGGATATGGTGATTCACTCTTTAATGATATGTTATTTGTAACTGAATATTGTTAAAGGTTTAGTCTTGGATACTAAGTACAATATCTTTGACATTAGTTAGTTTGGTTGCTAAAGAACTTTAAGTAGTGATTCACTCTTGCTTTCTTCTAGCTTTGTTCTAGTGTTAATGGCATTAAAGTGATGTTTTGTCGTTGACATTATTGTTATTGAGATTCAAGTGAAGTAAAATGTCTCACTATAATATTGATATTGCATTTCATTAATCTTGATATAGATAGTATTGATGGTTTGGTTATAGTTTTGTATTTTTAGCATTCGTGCATTTGCTAGGTAGTA